GTAGATGTGTTGAAGTTCTGGAAAAGAAAAGTGTAATAATGAGGTCTCTGGAGTGAATAAAATATTAAAACTAAATAAAAACATTGCAATGACTTATATAAATATATAAGTTCAAAATGAAGATAAAACAAAAGAAAATTACAGACATATGAAAAAAAAGGGGGGAAGACAAATAATAATAAAAAAATAACAATCAACTGGGGAAAAGGGGGGGATTTTTAAAAATCCGTAAAATAAAAGATATAATCTTTTCATCAGCCCACACGATTATATCCGCAAAAAAGAGTGCTTTCTGATATTGTATCAAAATAGCCAAAGCAAAATATGTTAATACAATAGTGTGAGGAGCACTCAAAAATTTTTTTACAAAAATTACAACAAAGAAAATAGAACACAATAAGTAAAAATAACACGTAAAAACAGAAAAGAAAAGAAAAGAAAAAGAAAAAACGGAATAAAATATAATCTATAAAGCGAGTAGCGAATTCAAATGTACTTACATGAACGGGAAATTTTTCAAGAATGATTTAAAAAATATTTTCGTAACAAGATTGCCAGATTGCATAATATTAATGCGCAATAAATTAAACTTATTGTTTTTCTCTTAATTTTCTTCGTGTTTTTTTATATTTATTTACTTTGTTGTATATAACTTAATACATATAACTTATGTAATATATAACTTAAATACATATTTAAAATTTATCTTTATGTAAAATCTATAATCTATGTGGAAATTGTTTTTTAGTAAATTTTATTGTTTACGTTAAAAAAAATTTCTCTCTTTTGAATTTAAATTCTCTTAAACGGAAAAAAATTTAATTTAGTGACCTAAAATTTTTTTTTTTTTTGAATATCACATAAAAGCTTAAGGAAAAATTTTTATTTCTTGATAAAAATAATACTAGCAAAATAGCAACCAATTTTTTGATTTATTAATCGATGATTTGATTTATGTATCCAAAAAACTTAACATTAAATATTACTTTATTTGTAATATTGTATGACGATAACTGTCCCGTATGTCCTACCTATGTCCTACTGTAAAATTTTTTATAATTACCAAATTGCTTTTTACACGTAACTTCATGATGAATGGAAAAGGGCCGAAAGCAACCCGAGTTGCCCGATTAATAAATTCAGTTCAAACAATCATGCTCAACCTGTTCACCACATATTACTTATGTGATCTACTCACCATACAAACTGTACCTATTGTTCATAAGTTCCATCTTCATTTCGTGTTATCAATGTTCAACTTATTCTCCTATGTTCTAAATAACCAGTGGGCCTCCTGCTTCAACCAAATCGATTTGTATTCCAGTATCACATTGTTCTAACTAATCCACTTTTACTCCATGCATAAGAAATGACTAAATTATTTAAATTTATAAATACTTATGATACTGTCATCACCCAGCATCATTGGATTACGATTGATTTTAAAAAGATTTAAAAAATGGCTGCTCCAATTATGTCATTACTAATTTTATCCTTTGACAAACAAACTGTGGCGTACTGGCATATTAGTACCATAAAGCTTCTTTTAACTATGTGATATTTAAGAAATGAGAGCTCTAAAGATTATTTTATAGCAGTAATCTGGGAAAAGTAATTTTTTAAAACCTAAGTTAAAACTAATGGGAGAAAAATAAGTATTTAATTTTTAAACATAAACATTCCACTCTCTTCAAATTATTACTTTTCTCATGATTGCTATATTAAAAATCGGGAATAAATTATTTGAAATTTTAAAATCGTGAAATATATAATCAAATTAATAAGAATAATTATTTTCTTGTTGCCCTAATAACATTTAAATTTATAATTATTGCCTCTTTTTGTTTTATTTGTCTTTTCTCTTCCACTTAGCAGTTCAGATAAGAATTACCAGTAATTCATCTTTTTTACTATCACTGACGATCCTCTTGACAAATATGAATAGTTCAAGTTTAGCAAAACTAACACATTCATGTCCTACATCATATATTATTACTGCTATAATTGTCTCTATATAGATCTGAAATTATTAGCTCTTTAAATAATCACTTTATTTATGTCTTAAACAAAGACAAGTTTGATATATATCTATGTGACATCTGAAATAATAGCTAAACAGAATCAAAGAAGCTAAAAACGAAACTGAAAAATAATTATATTTTAACAGTATAGAAGCTTTATTAACAGACGAGAACTTTTTATCTATCTATTTCTCATGATTAAAGTACGACTTCGTCTATAAATCATCTTAAATTAGTTAGAAATATAATCTTTATAAAATGAATCCATATTGCGCAGTAAAATGACTTTTGGAAACCGAAATACCATCTTCTTAGGACGTTAACCTTAACAAAGGAGTCTGGATATTATAGATCACATGAATAAATAAAGCCATTAAAGCCATAGAATAAAGCCATTTGGTAGTTAAAACAGTGGGCATTCGTCTTTAGAAAACGAAGATATTAAGTTAGCTGAAGGGGCTTCAGCTCCCTGTATATTTTGTAAATATTTTAATTTATTTTGTGCTTTTCTTAATAAACTTTCAGTAAAAATGATATGGAATCTTCATTCTACAGAAAGAATATTAAAATTGACTTCAGTACAAATTGGATCGATTAAAATTGTATTTGAACTCATTATTTAAATTATGGAAAATTAAGGTAAAACGGATCCACTACTGAACATAATGGAATCAATACAAACCGAGACCTCCACTTAAATTTTATCTCGTTTGTTCTATCATTTCCCCCCAAATTCAATAAGTTACAACTTTCAAATTGCTTAAAAATAAAATAAAATAAATGAGTTAAAAGAAAAAATAATTTATTATATAATTACAAGTCGATTAAAAATGCATAACAAAGCCAGTGGAAACTACATCAAGTAATGCTAGCATTGACGGCAAAACAAAGTTTTGAAGTTTAAGCTCCAAAATGATGCATAAAAAGCCACGATTTGCATTATTTGTTCGATATTCTTCCAAATTTATCTCGAATATTACCACTTTCCAACACTAGCATGCATTAAAACCACCTCCCAAATACCTTTAGCAGAAGTTTTCGGGAGAATGAGACGAAAGAGAACCTGGATAGTGATAAATCACCCTCTTCTCCGGATAACACGAGAAGAGACAAAACTTGCCCGGGACTTAGCGGCGCCCCTCTGCCCGAGTTTCCTGTCTTAATGACAGCTTTAAGAACGATTTTCTAGTTGGGAAATCGTCTCCTGCTCCTGGGAATTGATCGAGTGCCCCCTCCTTTGGGGTAATCGGGGCAAGAATTATTCGAACCGGATGGAACGATTCTCCACATCCCAGACAGAAAAGGGGCACTGAATTGACCGCTGCAGTTCCGGAGTAAGTTTAAGGTGTTTGATTTACGCTCCTGGATGCATTGCCATTCAAAACTCACTTTAAAGTTTAAATGAAAGGGTGTTATTTCGTTAAGGTTTGTGCGGTAAACTAATAATTATTTCTAAGAATAGTTTAAATGCGATTCTATTCCGCTGGATGTATATATATTTGAGCATGCATGCATGCATGCTGGTGCTCAAAATTAAGAGAACTTTTAGATTCGGTTTTAATGAAATTCTGTATGAACATTGATTAAGAAGAAAAAAAAATAACAAGTTTACTGTCATAATACACATGCATGATCATGCCTGTTACTTCTCAGATTGAAATAGTATGAAACAGTGGTTAAAGAATCAAGCGCTACAGTAGTGCAGTTGGTAAAGGCTTCACTGGTTTTGCTAAGTTGGAGCTGGTGGTTGTGAGTTCGATCCTGGAAGCCAACTGAACAACCGACGTGTACAGATTTAACACGCAGCAATGTGCATGTTAAATCTGTAGTGACTTAAAGTCCTCTCGCTGGTTGTGGTGTAAAAGTTCGGTGAAAGGGATACCAGCTTTGGTGTTCTTCCACCGTCTGACTAGGGTCAAAATTATGTAGCATTCCTATTATGGCTATTAAAAGATAGAGCCCTGAAAAAACGAAACTAGGTGCTTAGCCATGGTTGCTTGATGTGTAGCCCCATATATAGGTTTGGAGATAAGTGTACCACCAGTAGCTCAGGTGAAGTCTACTTCGTTTGAACGGGGTCGAAATTACGTAGATTCCTACTATGGTTTCTAAAAGATAGATCCATAAAAAAGGTGCAAAGTGGTCAGGGTTGAACAGTTTGTGGTTCTTGCTGTAGATATGCCGACTTGTACGATGCCCCAATGATGCAACAACACTGTTTTCAACCATTTAATGGTCAGTGAATAATTACTAGTAGCAACCCTCTGCATTTGAGCGTCCCTGCACGGTCTAATAATAAAATAATACTGTAAATAAGGCATAAATAAAGTGAAACATAAACAATACCTCAAAAACAATCTTACTATAGCTCTGATTCTGTAATCACGAATCTTCCTCCAAACACAAATTACTTATTCTAAATATATCTGTGTTTGGAGGAAGTTTAAATGAATATGAATAAAAGTTTTAAATTTAGAAAAATTATTCCAATTTGGACGAGATTATTTCAATGAAACGCAATTTAAATACTATTACTTGATAATCAGTTAGCCGTCATTTAGTATATTTGGTGGAACAATGCGAATTTTTTTTTAATATTATTATTCAATATAATGTAATAATTTTCTAACATGATTTATCATCATAGATATTTAAATTAAATTTCCTTTGTTTGTTAATAGAGAGGATAAATTAAGTTTTGCTAGTTTTGAAAGAAACATTGCTTGAAAATTTTGCATAATTAACAAAAAAAGATTATAGATTTAACTGAGAATGAGGAACAAATAAGGAGAATTTTTATTCTAGAATATACCATTTTTTATTATAAAGGTTTTGTAGGTATTATAACTACGATTAGGGTAATCATAATCATGCTCGTAATGTTAAATTAATTTTCTGTTTTATAAAATGCTGAAAACCGAAAATGAATTTCAAACTGTAAGGGAAAAAGTACAATTTTTTCTTCATCTTCAATTTTAGATCCATACGTCAAGGTTTCGTTGATGTGCGAAGGGAAACGAGTAAAAAAGAAGAAAACCTCAGTGAAGAAGTCTACGCTGAACCCAGTTTATAACGAGGCCCTCGTCTTCGATGTGCCAGCAGAGAATATCGAAGACGTCACTCTGGTCGTTAAAGTGATCGATTACGACAGGTAAGTAAGAATTCTGGCTGCTCAATCCCAGGAACGAAAGATTTTTCTTTTAACTCTTTTTCCCGAATGATTTTATGACACCTCATCAAATTAAACCAGGAAAATTCGTAAATTCTTAGTCTTTTTTTCCTTCTTATTTTGGTGAAAAAATGGCTTTTAGAAATCAAATCAATTGACCTAAAAATGAGTTGATGTGTGGCTTGCAACTGTGATTATTGATCGAGAAAAAAAGAAAAAATATTAATAAATAGCCATGCTCAATCACGATATTAAAAGGTTTTTAAAGGAGTTTTAATTTTAAAGTGGTATTGAGTTAAGACACTGTGTTGTCATTGTGAAGGACTGAGGTTTTATTCCCGGTGGTGGCTTAAAGCCCACGCAGATTGATGGGAGGTAGAGACGATCGGTGCACGAAACTGATTGCGTTAGTCTCGATAAAATTTTATCAATGGTATATTAGTCTCTGAATTGTGATTGAAGTGTAACTCCTGATATACCGCGGAAAACAGGCGTTGCCTGTTTTGTATATTTACGGGCTATGATTACATCCAGCGTGTCAATAGAATCGGAATAGCAGCATTTCAGTAAAATTTCTACCTCATGCGCTATTAGAGGATAATTCTATGAATGGATGGTACCTCCTTATTTCCTCCAATTTAAGAAATGTTGATACTGGGAATGCTTATCCTTTTAGTATTTTACATTTATATTGGACAGCAAAAAGGCGTTTAGCTGATTGGTCCAGGCTGGGCTTAGGATAAAAAAATGTCTCGAAATTGTTGAGCCTAAACCACCATGACCCTCTTAGTTCATAACTAGCTGTGGCGGGTTTGCTTAAAAGATATTAATTATTGCAACGCTTGGTGTCGAAAATTTTTTTTTGGAAGAATTTAAAAAAGAAAAAAAATTATAGGTTTTTTTTAAGTCCCATATTGACAACACAGAATAATATATTGAAGTTTCTAATATTATAAAGTAAATACAACAGTGCAATCAGTCATTTAAGAAAGTGAATGTTATTGATTTCGTTGAATAAAGATGAGTTATTCAACGAACTTTATAACCTGTTTTGCACAGTATAAGAAGGTAAGCCCTAGTGGCTCAGGGGATGCAGCGTTCGCCTCCCAGTGAGGTGACCCCGGGTTTGAATCCCAACGATGGCTGGTCGATACGAATTCCCCAACCGGCTCACACCGACCACAGTGCAGACGTAAAATATCCTTAGTGGTAGACGCAACATGGGTTAAAGTCCCCTTGTTGTCAGGCTAAACATGTGAAGTTTTCATGGTTTTCCTCTCCACGTAACGTATATGTGTGTTAGTTCCATCCAAAAGTTCTAAGGAAGGCCAATTTATTACAATACTTAATCCAGGAGTTCCCTTGTATTCTGAATTGGGTTCAAAATTGCAAGGATACGGAGGTGAACATTGGTAGTTACAAACTCAATATTGGGTCGGCTATCCCTACAACGGTTATAATTATTTGTGCTCAAAGTTAAGCTAACCAGTATAGATTCATCACATACTTTTGACCTTCATATAAACTCGGGGTCATTGCCCGAGCACATTATTTCGAAATCAATACATTCTCAAAGGGAAGATTAATGTGCATTATACATCCAAACATTTAGAATCTACGATCGATCTTAAGATGGAAATTAGTCGCGATTTTGTCTTAAGATTGAAATTTTGTCTAATTAGATAAATACTTAAAGATACTTTATTGTTAAATAATAATGATCTATTTAAAGTATTTGTGTTCTCGTGTTGTGGAAATATGTCGTAACTCATTCACTAACTTATTACTTTACAAAGCAGCGATCTCAAAACCCTATTTTAATTTATTAAATTAATCCTCAAGCAACACTGCATAATTAATCGTTGTCAGAAACTAAGCTAAGAGGAAATTTTTTAACGTAAACACCCTAGAAGAATTATTAAAAGAATAAACATTCAGAATTGTTAATTTTTACATTTTTATTTCATTTATTGAGAACAATTTAACCAATTTCATTCAAATTTTGTATTTTAGAACACGAAATCGCACAGATTAAAAAATTTTAAAAATATTTCCAAACTTCTTGTTTATACATTATTAAGTTTACACATTTTGATGGCTGTACATTATAATATTTTCACAAAAGATGGCTCTACGAACTGGAAAAAAATGTAACAAAAATGTTTTCTGAAGAAAACCATTTGCAACATCAACAACTACAACGTACGGAGAAATGAAAAGAATCTTAACACACAACTATTCAAATATTTCAGTAGGAATGATCTAAAGTGCAACAAAAAATAGTGTTTTATATCTTTTCCAGTTAGCAGCTTCATTTGGAAAATTTTGTAACTAATTGTGAAGTTTTAAATGCAAATAAACAACTCTTTTCCATAACAGAACGCTGCAAACCGTAAATTTCTGTTTCCTTTCGTTTTTCTCTCACAGATTTGTTTTAATTGTTTGGTTATGTTTGAGATATTAATTTACTAAACATAAATGCACCATCATTAATACTTACAATGCCTTCAGATAAATTTTGAATTTTGCAGAGTGGGAGCCAACGAAATGATGGGGTGTTTCGCCATCGGAAGCAGCTGCATCGGTCTAGGTCGAGACCACTGGATAGAGATGCTAGACAACCCTCGCAAGCCTGTAGCTCAGTGGTACACTTTACAAGAATCTTTGTCCGGTCTTACTGTTGAGAAACTACCTGTAAAATCATCTCCCATCAAATGCATTAGTATGAGATGACTGTAACTGTGCTTGCCATCTAAAATTGTAATGGCTCCCTTTACTGGACGAAATGGAAGCTGGGACAACCTCTGAAAAGGTTTACTGTCCGTTTTACCATGAGTGGGTCTCCCGAAACCTGCTTGCTGATTAAGCTTGTTAAAATGATTCTCTCATCCCATATGAAGCTGTTCTGTTTTTCATCCCTCGTGTGTTTGTTATCGTGCATCATCATGGATGAAATGGAACTGGAGTATCACCTGAGACACATGTAGATTAATGTATGACAAAACATATTTGATTGTTTCATGCTAGATATTTACTTGAAGTTACATCTTTGTTTCGCTCAGCTCATTTGTGTGTAAAAAGATAACCATTATTTTAATAATTTTAAGCAATCAGTTGACTCGATTCCATTACAGGGTAAGTAACTAAGAATCATTTTTTCTAAAATTGAAGACAGCTTGCAGTTTAATTAAGGTGAACTAACCTTCTGAACAGCATTATTATAATTTTTTACCATGCAACACACTTAACGATGGTGTGACTAATAATGCGGATTTCAAAGTGAACGCTTTGTATTATGCAAAGACAGAACTTCAGCAAAACTCTAACTTGCCTTAATGTGCAGTTAATAAATCTATAGCCCACGATATTCTTGAGTTGAAATATAAACAAAATATTTTTCCGCAGAATGCTAATACAACACTGTTGAAGGAAAAGGATCTGCTACACTAGCATTCTAATTCCCTTTCACTTATATAACGTATCGATATCGATAGCAGCTAGCAATGCTACTCAATTTCAGATTGTGCACACAGTAGTCAGTGACACTGCGTTTCTCTGCTTACATATCTGACTTGAAATGTAATATAAGTTGCATCGTGTCGCGATTGCATTTTTTTTCTGGTTGAACTGCATCTGCGTCAAAACATAGAGAAAACTGACAAATAGCATTTAATTTGCTGTGTACTCAGTAGTTACGCGACACCTCATTTTATGTGCTGCCATCTATGCGGCATGAAATGTAATATAAGCTGTATCGTGTCGAGATTATATTTTTTTCTCGGGTTGAACTGCATCTGTGTCAAAAGATAGAGAAAACTAACAACTAGCGTTTAATTTGCTGCGTACTCAGTAATTACGAGACACCTCATTTTATGTGCTGCCATCTATGCGGCGTGAAATGTAATATAAGCTGTATCGTGTCGAGATATTTTTTTTTCCGGGTTGAACTGCATCTGTGTCAAAAGATAGAGAAAACTTGTTAGCGTTTAATTTGCTGTATCGCTGCTAATCAGGGGCCAATTAAACTGTTTTATGTATCAATTTTTGGCAGCATGATCCGCCATTACTTACCCTGTCTGGATGTTGTGATATTGTATTTGATTGTTACGTGCTTTTTCATGTTTCAAAACTTTACGTTTTCACTGTGTATATACTTGTGCTAAATTTTAAACCATATCAGTTGTTTCATTTAATGTTTCCTCACATTTGTTAAAGGAGTCGTACTTTTCAGGACAATACCCTAATTAACTAATAACAAAAAATATTTCATCATCTGTATCTGTTAACAATAATACATTCGTGATAACTTTTAAAATTTGTAAAGTTATATTGAAAAAAATCTATTTTTCATGAGTTTTTAAAAATAAATTTAAATGTAAAGCAGAAGAATAAAACTAATTACTCCCATTTTAATTTTTACGGGGATATGTCATGAAAAGTTCGGACGCTTGTTTGCTATCTGAGATGGACAATTATAAATTACCTAAAAAAAAAAAGAAAGAAATTTATGATAGCTATGATATAATGATCATAGCTATCTTAATTATATGTATAATTATTATTAAATTCTTTGTTTTCTCTTTAATCGTAAAATTATACTTCAATAGCAATTTCTATATCTTAAATAGTTATTATATCCATATATTCATTGATATATTTTAGAAAGATTTTTATTTTTAAACATTATCTTCCTTAAAAATGTCAAACTTTAAACAGATATGGATTTATTTAAGATAACTTTTGTTTTGTTTTCTTTACCCTTTTAGACCTGAAATTGTTTCTTACAATTTGCTGAAATTTTCTGCGAATGCGAAAGGTTTCTGCTCGTTTATGGCTTTAATTTTCCGTCTTCCTCACCATTTTATTCTTAGCATTTTATCTAGTGGATGAAACACACTTTTGTCCAGTAATAGAACAATTCTTTTAAAATATTTGAATCTAAAATCATGCAACTATATTTAACTATAATTAGGATCTAGAAGAAACGAAGGAACTTAATTTAACGTTTGACTTAATTCGAATGTAAATTACTGCCTCTTTATGTATGGGTTTAATGTCGAATCAGTACAATCATAAAAATGGTGAAGTTAATATCTGCGGCTTATGGAATTAATGGTTAAGCCAATATTTAAGCTATATTCTTTATAAGTTTTAGCTATTTTTTTTATTTCAAAAATTTACGAAAAGAATTATTATACTAGTTTAATTTAAATCGATACAATGTTTTGTGGTCTTTTTGCTTTTATTTTTTATAAGGGTCGCACATATTTTTAAACTAATTAAAAGGATTAATTTTATATCAGTTTTAAGTTCGATAATTTATAAAATTAATGCTTAACTAAATTACAAAATAAGACAACTTCAGAGAATTTCTTTTTTACTAGGTTATTTATGAATGATTATCTGAGAAATTATTTTATGTAAGTTAAGTTTGGTCTGGAAGGGTCAACGTCAATTACATTTTGTACTCCACTCTTAATAATTCCTCAAATTCATATTAGAATACATTATGTTAAAAAATATTCATACAGTTTTTCCCCTTTTTACATTTTCTGAATAACATTTTAATAAATAGTAAATATTATGTATGACATAAATAAAAAATGGAAAATAATTAAAATTTTGACATTAGATACTGACTGCTTGAATATCATCGTATGTGTGAACCAATTCCTATAATAAAAATACATCATTTCTCACTGTAAAAATATACACTTAATCATCCCTCTACAATCTTGTAACATCAAGTAATACAGAATACTACAGGAAAATATTCCATTATTTTTTCCGTTATGTTATTTAATTACTGTCATTTAAAATTATTTATAACTGCTGACTTTTAAAATTTTTGAGGAAATTTTTTTCTATTGATAAAAAATAACTACTAAATTTCTTCTAGCTCGCGAATACCTAAGAATAAATAACCAGGTTCCTTTTATATGTATTATTAGAATTGTTTGCATTATCTGGTGGCTATAATTAATTAAGTCATATTTATTAAATTATGGCTAAAATATTAGCATAAATTTTATTATCAATATAAAACTTCCTCCTTAAAGAAACTTAAAAGTTGGCAGCTATGCGAATTTAAGCATTTCAAGAATAGCATTTTTTTAAAAAATTTGTTTTTACATAATTTTGATAGTATCGATATCGTTAACAGTGTGAACTCTTAAAATAAGCAATATATTAAGATATTAATAAAGCTAAAAATAATTTTAGTGTCATAGAAGGAATTGCCCAATGATAGATTTGGATACTACGGACGAAGTAGTAATATTAATCGGATAACTTGAATAAATAGAATAAGGAACCAGTACCAGCACTAACAGATATTATTCATTAAAAATAAAATATACTTAACAAAAAATACAGCAACAAAATTTACTCATATTCGAAGTAACTATTGGAAATTCTTTATTATTTTTCGGTTCATTAACTGACTTTTTTGTTTCGCTTTCAAGATCTAATTATATAATAATGCTGAATGGAAATATGAAGTATGTTATTATAAATAATAAAATTCATGAACATCAAAATTTCAGAAAGATGTAACTGGCCTCTGACGACAAGACAAGGTTATAGTTACTAATATTGGTAAATCTTTATACATCATAAAAAGATAATTCTTGTATTACTGTATCGAGCATACTCATCTAATAGGAAAGTCTCATGATGTGATTGTTAATAAACAAAAAAACATCAGATATCTTTGGCTGTCATCAGCATTAAATTTAAACATGTTTTAATGATATTTACATGCAAATTACTTATTTCTTATTTAACGGTATTTGCTAGCAGTATATTTTATCATCCCATCTAAATATATTTCATATTTAGTGATATGATTTTCATTTTGATTATTATTCACAATTTATGGCTAGAAATGTTGTTGCTTTATTATAATTATTAAATAATATAATCTTATATTGCAACATTTTGTAATGAAGGCTATTTATTTGCTGTTTTACAATTATTATACTGTAAAATAAATTATATTTACTTTTATATTAAATTTTATGCAAAACTGTGTTCAGCCAAACGCATACAAATTAAAGTAATGAATGCCAAATAATTATTACAAATTCTTAGGGTATAGAAAGAATTAACTTCTCGCACAATAGTTAAATAATATATAAGGCGAAAAGCATTTAAAAAGTTTGTATTATAATGTAAATTTAAATTTGATTTTCATAAAACATGTTCGTGGAAGAATTCGCAATGGTAATCGAGCAAAATCATTAGGTTGAAATTTTATCCTAATTGCATCAGGAACTGAATCTGTGTTGAGAAAATGATTGAATGTTTTAATTGAATTATTTTTTATTTTGATGTCTTAATAGTCAAGAAACAGAAATGATTGCGATGCCATCGGGGGTGGAGATTATTGAATGAGGCAGGTTAGAAGCGAAATTTTGGGCAAAATCAGGGAATTTTTTTATGGGCCAATGTCCAGTTATTGTATTGTTAACAGTTGCAACTTTTTAAAAACATGATACCACTTTTTCAAAAATTTTAAACTATTCAAAAAACTGTCAATATTAGTAACGTAAGGCATTTCTTTTTAAGAATTTCTCAAACTATGGTAAACATTACAGGGTTTACTTCCAAAAGGAAGAAAAAGTTTAAGAAGCTGGCATGAAATAAAATAATTTTCAAAATATTATAAAATATTCATATGAATTCAACAAATCCATATTTATTAAAATAATAAAATGCTCATGAGGATGCATTATCGGCGAAAAAGAAAAAGATGATTTAGTGGCGACTGACAGAAAATTTTTTAATAGTCATTTGTTGCATTTAGTCGTCCTGTAGCCAGCGGTAACCGTTAATTTTGCCCAAAAGAGCGAAGCCTCTCATTAGTAATAGAAAAGTTTGCTATTTAAAGTTACCCCATCAAAATTATTTATTATAAATTAATTTCTTATTAAAGTATTCATTCAACAGTAATTAAATTTTATCCATTACTGAATCCGAGAGTACCTTCCATAATTAATAAGTCCTTTTTATTAATATCCTTAACGCTAAGAAAGAGACCTAACGGGGATCTTTAATTCCTTATTTACTTGAGAGAATCAAATATACTATGTACCAGTAAAAGCTTATAATGAGAGCGACTACGTTATAGGGATATATTTGTACTATGTGTTATCGCACAAAACTCTCGATGTTTTTCTAAAAAAAAAAAAACCTGCACTTCTCCTTTATTGTAGGTTGTTGGCAATATTGTTTCACATTTCCCCGCGTTCAAGTACGCATGTTCTGAAGAAACTGAATCTGCAGTTTTTCAGAATTTGGTCGCATGCAGTTTATTTCGAATTCAGAGAACATATATGCGTGAATTAGGAGGGGGATGTGAAATGGTATTGCTAAATCTCTCTATTGTGTCGGTGTTCTCCGCATGTGACATGTATAGGTTATTTCAGACAAGTTGGCACTGCCGTGCCAATTTAATTATTTTTTAACTTTTCTAGAAAGAACAGTGCCTGAGAAAATATTGAGTGTAATGAACTTGATTATCGTCGAATATGAACTAAAATTCTACAAGTAATATTTTCATTATATACATTCCTTCGACATGCATTCGGCTATTTAGCTAAATTTTTCGGAAAAATTGTCTTTGCTAAACGTCATTAAGAAAATAAGAACCACTTTATTATTCAACTTAGCTAAATAGCAATAATTGGTTTTATCAAAATAATGTCTTCTTTCTACCCAATATAAATAAATAAAGAAATAAAAAAATGATCTTCCTGATTGTTCGCGAAAACTATAGATTACATAACCTTTTGACGCACCTGTCTCTCTGACGCTCTAATTACAAGTATAATTATATTTTGGCATTTTTTAAATACAAAATATTGTCAAATTAATCACTAAAAAAATCTATTAGATTATCGGAATTATATTTGTACTAACATATAAAATCCTAAAAAAAGAAGTTAGAAATTTTTTTCAATCCATAGTTAAAAAATTATCAATAATTAATTTTGTAAATTAAAGAAATTGCAATGATGAATAACTGTTTCACTTATATATAAATAACTTCAAATTTAAAAAAAATATTGTTTGGTAGTATAATTTAAAAAAATTATTGTTTCTGTTGACGTGTTTAGAAAATTTTACCTTTTACTTAGAAAAAAACACTAATGTTTCATGCTGTGATTCAAAAC